GTGGGTTTAATTGAGAGAGAAGTTAGAAAGAGAAAATGAAATATTCTATTGGAATTTGCTGGTGGTGGCTAGAATTGAAAAGCAGTATTGCTTGTATGGATTCAAGATGATTAATTTGAATACTTTTTCTCTAATAGCAAAACTGGGTGTGGTTTCTTTTAGATCTAGAAGAAGAAAAAGAGTGAAAGAAAGAAAGGAGGAAGGGGGTGGTGCTGCTGAAACAGGGTCACCATAGGGGGAGCGAAATGGCTATAGCTTCTGGTTCATCTCCACGGACTCTACTTTCACAGGCTCAACAGCTGGAGCTTCCGGTTCAGCGGTGGCTGGAGCTTCTGGTTCGCACCTCCTTCGACTCCATCTTCGTCGGTTTGAGCCCTGGTCCACTTATAGATAGTGCATCCTGGACAGATTGTCTTTTCTCGAAGCTCTAATTGTGGAAGACTTCTCACCATGCTGCGATTCATCAAGATTCGCAACTTCTTGTATTCACGGCGACGGCGTATGGTTTCAAAAGAGAAAGGAGTGTTGTTCCGATCATCTTCATTTTCTCTCTCTAGAAAGCTCTGGGTTTCTCTGGTTGTGGGTAAGAATGGCGGTGGGTTTGACTGAAATTTGTCTGATATATGTTTAGGGGTGCCCTTCTTCATTGTGGTAGGCACAATGTCTACCAACGTTCCTTCCCATGAATTCCCCTGGTGCTCTTGCCGGAGCCCTGAAATAGTGTTGATTTCGAATCTGATCTAAGACTTTATGGATTGGGATCCGGAATACCGTTGTTACCGCCTGTTTATTTCTCAACTCTGTTTCTTGTTTGGTCGGCCCATTGTTGCCTCGGCTTCGCTTCGGCGAGCCGTTTCCCTTTGTATCTTCTTCGGCTCTGGCATACTTCTCGATCCTTGCCATGAGTTCTTCCATGCTTTTTGGCAATGTTTTTGCCAAAGACTTCCGTAGCAAGCAGTCATCTTTCAGGCCGTTCTTGAAAGACACGACCGCTACCTCTTGGTTGCATTCGGGTATTCGGTTGAACACCTCGTAGTACCTCTTCGCATAGGCCCTAAGGCCTTCTTCCTTGGTGATTCTTAGAGCCATCAAAGCATCAACCCTCAGGGGTTGTAGCTTGTTGGTCACGAACCTGGCCACAAACATCTCGGCCAGGCCTTCCCATGTCTTTATGCTTCCCTTTGGTAATTTATGGAACCAATCAGATGCAATTTTCCCAAAGGATGAAGGGAATACTTTGCAGAGCAACGGCTCGTTCCCGCTATATAACGCCATTGAATTCAAGTATAGTCCAACATGAAAGTTTGGATCTGACTTGCCATCATAAATTTGGAACCTCGGCATGCTGAATCTCTTTGGTGGCTCGAATTTGTCCAGTTCCACCGAGAAGGCTGTCTTCGGCTTTACCGGGGAGTTTACCTTGTCTTCAACATTCTGCTGCCTTCTTTTGAGGTAGTCCCTCAGGTCTTCTTTGCTCCTTCCTGGAGCTCGGCTGTCTATGGATTTTAGTCTTTTTGGTACACTGCTTTCGTCCTCGTGGTGGGCCCGTTTGGATCTTTCTCCATGGGTTGTGTCGAAGTAGAGTGCTTGCCTTTGAACATGCCGACGTTCTTTGGGCTCTGGATTCTTCGTGTGGTGCGTCCTTCGAGACTCCTCTTGCCTCGGTTCTTCTCGTCCGACCTCCCTGGAAGGCCGGTGAGAATGCCTTCCGCTCCTGGTATGCTGAGGGACGTCGGGGATTGTTTTTCTTCCGCCCTTCTGGGCGTTGGTTGCTGGCATCGGCGTATCTTGCAGCGGGTATGGTGGCTGCATAACATTATTTTGCATCATGAAGTTGACGACTGACTGAAGGTCTGCCAACTTGTTCGCCAATTCTTTTACTTCCTCATCCCTCCGTAGACATCTATCCCTCCATACCTAGAGGTTATCTTCATTGTAGTACTTTCCTTGGTTTGTCCTTTTTGACGTGTCGCCTTCCTGGATGACGTCTTTCTCTCTGTGACCCTGGTCACGGGCTTCTGTATTGTGGTTGTCTCCTTCAATGTCAAGGTCAATTGGTCTGCCACTCCCAGCGGGAGCGTCATCCCCAATATTTTCCTGCTGTCCGTTACTGGCCATCTATTCTTCCTTCGTTCCCACAAACGGCGCCAAATTGTGTGGGTGAAAATCTGACCACACTGCCTGCTTAGTGATCAACTAGAGAGCATAGGCAGAATAGATGGCTTCAGCAACCTGAAACAGAAAGAAAGGGCTCCGGCGGTGGTTCTTCCACCCGGGGGCACTCCGACGATCAAGTCAGTATATCTCTCAAAGATAATCAAGTGCAAAACTTAATACTCAAAACATAAATTGCATACCTTAGACCCACGGGGTGCCTCTCTTTTATAATATACTCAACCTAAGTCCCACTAGAAGTATGACTTCTATGAACTCCAATTTAGTGCTTACTTTGGACTCTTTAAGAGATAAAGATAAACTCCCTTAAGAGTTTTATCTTGGTTAAGTCCCCTCTTTGTCTTAGGACTCTTGTCCCTTATCTGCTTATCTCGGATTCCGATATCTTCGGGAATAACCTCGGCAACTCCGAGATCATCTCGGCTTAACTATGACGACACGAGGCACCTCGGCTGACACGTCGGCGTCACCATGCCACGTGTTGGTATTCAGAAAATATATCCCCACAACAATATATATGAAAGTTAAAAAAACAAGCGTTACTATATTTTAAAGAAAAACTACAATTAAGTGAAACTTCTAAAAAATAATTATAAATTCATGAAACAAATATTTACAATTATTTTTTAAAAATACAACTGATTTAAATACCTCAATAACAATAATATGTTTGTATATAAATTGTAAACTAGAAACATATTATACGACTAACCAACATCATTCCGTCAACTGTGAAAAGTATCATTTAGACAACTTGTGACTACCATTTTTTTTTTACATTTTCTACGATTAGCACAAGATTAATCAGGCTTATCTAATACTATCACAATGATTAATTGAGATATTTTAGTTTTTTTTATTATTATTTTTTATTAAAAAAGTTAATATAAAAAAAATAAAGAAAGTGATGTGATAATTTGATTTGATTTTTTGGTTACTTTAGGCAAAAATCCACACCCCAAACAAGTCGTGCAAGCTGTTTGTGTTTCCATTTTCTTAATTTTTATTTTTTGTTTTCATTTTTCATGTTTTTTAAAAATAAAAACAATGAATGCCCATAGCTTTCATTTTTGTGCATAAGCAATTTTAAAAATTTTAAAAACAACTTTTTTGGCATTCCTTAAAATTTGGTTATTTTCAAAAAAAAAAATCCCGAAAACAATTTGTCAAATAAATTTTATATTTTTCTATTAAAAAAATAATAATATACAAATCTACTTTTTAAACTCATTTTCTAGACCTAATGATGTGTAAATAATATAATTAGTTAATGATTAGAAAAGATATGAAAGAGAATATTACTTTTAATATCCTAATTGATTACGACATTATTAGACTTAAAAATTAGATCTAATTTGTCTCGAACAACAATGTTCCAAAAAAAAACAAAAAAAAAAAAAAAATGCAACTAAAAAAAAAAAACCCAACTAAATTGGGAATGAACTATCTCCAGACATGGAGTAGCGCACATAATCACATAAGAAATAAAGAAATGAGAGAAGGGAAACACATTTTTTGTATTTTTATTTTTTGGCCAAATTTATAAACTGAGACCATTGATTTATAAATCAAAAATTTTACCAAACAAGTTTTTATTTGAGTTTTTAAAATTTTGTAAATATAAACAGAAAACTGAAAACGTAAGTGTTACCAAACGGCACCTAAAAATTTTAAAAACAACTTTTTTGGCATTCCTTAAAATTTGGTTATTTTCAAAAAAAAAAATCCCGAAAACAATTTGCCAAATAAATTTTATATTTTTCTATTAAAAAAATAATAATATACAAATCTACTTTTTAAACTCATTTTCTAGACATAATGATGTGTAAATAATATAATTGGTTAATGATTAGAAAAGATATGAAAGAGAATATTACCTTTAATATCCTAATTGATTGCCACATTATTAAACTTAAAAATTAGATCTAATTTTGTCTCGAACAACAATGTTCCAAAAAAAAAAAAAAAAAAAAAAAACCCAACAAAATTGGGACATGCAAAATTCTACCTAATCCGTTAAAACTACCCAATCCGCACGCTAACCGCCGGGGTTAATTTGATCTACGATTTGAAATTTATAATTCGCTTTCAAAAGTATTTCACCCCACCATGATTAATACATGTATTTTTTTTATTCACCCCACCATGATTAATACATGTATTTTTTTTATTTCTAATGAATTATCAAAGTAAAAATCAGTGTGAGAAATATGGAATTTAGTGCAAATTTGTGTTTTATATACAAAAAATATTATGTAAAATCAATTAGGATTATATATATATAAATATTATATAAATTTGTATTATATATTATACAAGTGCTTGATAATCGTTTAAGATTATTCTTTAATTAAACAATAGTTTGGTTATAGATATCAAATTTGTCAATTTACTATTCACGGTTTGATTTTAATTTTTTTCTCAAACCGCACGAAATCACACCGCACACTCCTACAAATAAGTATGCAAAATTCAGTTTGGATGCAATTACACGTCTTTAAGGACTTGGTTCCGAACTTCAAACCAATTTCAAACAGATTATCTCTTCTTTTTACTGAAGTAATAATTCATATTTGATTTAAGACTTGGGCCCTGTTTAGTACGGCTTATTTTCAGCTTATTTCAGCTTTTACCTTAATTTAAACTATTTTGATGTGTTTGATTTAGCTTAACAATACAGCTTATAGCTTTTTATAAGTCAAAAATCAACTTATTCTTTGAGTGGGGGAGGAGAAACTTAATTTATAAGTCAAAAATCAACTTATGTTCACAGCTATAAGGTATAAGCTGTTAAACTATAAGGTATAATTACTTTCTCACAGCTCTACCAAACGGCCTTAATGCACACTCATATTTGTCAATGTCAAAACAATAACCTCAAGTCCTCAGTTTTTTGTAGCTTCATTAGAATTGTTGAATATTTTTATATGCGACTGAAATGCAGCAACAAAACCCAAGCTGATCAAACTTTTCATATCTCAACTCAAACTAAGCACAAAGATGATACAAAGGCCAAGTGATGACGAAAATAGCATACAAGAGGGCATCATAATGTCTAATGTGTCTGACTGATTAAGTACAATTTTTGGCCATCACTAATCATGCCCACATCAAGAATTTTACCTGCATCTTCGGATAATATGCAAGAACCCCGTGGCAAGTCTAGCTGCTTGGCTGCTGTTTTGATGAGCTCCTCAATGGTTTGTGGAATCCATAGTACAATTCCATATTTTCTTTTGTCCTTGGGATCCCATGGGTGGAAAGGGAACACTGTGCATTTCCGCAAATTCACTCTATCTGTTATCAACAATCAAAGTTCTATTGTCAGCATGAGGATAGACCCAGTAGCGTGTCCAAGCATGTCTGTATCCAACACATGTTGGACAGCCGTAAGTGACTAGCATTCTTTGGACGTTAACTAAATAGCTAGCTTATTGGTTAAAAAAGAGCTTATAAAAAAGTTAATTTTAAAAAACACTAGTTTGCATGGTATATTTCTTTCAACTTTTTTAAAGACTTTTTCGGATAAGCAAGTTTGGCTAATCTGGACTTTTTGACAGGAAATGGGCTTGCCAAATAAGACTATACTTTTTTAGCTAAATATGGGATGAATAAGCCAGTAGGTTGGGATTTTTATTTGAAGGGTTGAGATAAATTATTAATTTCTGTAGTTTTTTTTTTTTTTTTTTTTTGGGGGAACCAGCCTTGGCAGTTGGTAGTGCTGTTGAGATAAATTATTAATTTTTGTAGTTTTTTTTTTTTTTGGGGGTGGTAGCAACCAGCCTTGGCAGTTGGTAGTGCTGTAGTCGTGAATATTTCATGTAACATCTAGTTCAAGTCGAGTAAGCATAATGAAAGTGGAAAACAAGGTTTCACAATACCTGTGATTTCTTGAGAGTAGTTGGGGAACTCAGGCAGTTGAGTTGATTTTGCATCTTTCAGTAGTTTGATCAAATTTTTGTTTCCACATATTTGTGCTTCATCAAGTGGGCTATTTCCCCATCTGCAAATTACAGATAAGACAATAATGACTTGCTTGTAAGAATAAGCAAGAGATTCATGATCCTAAATATTTGCAAATTACAGATAAGACAATAATGGCTTACTTGTAAGAATAAGTAAGAGATTTATGATCCTAAATATATAAAAAACACGGGTTAATTACATTTTTCACCCTTATGGTTTGACCCAAATTTCACTTTAGTCCCTATTGTTTCATTTTGAACAATTTAGTTCCTACACTTTAAGTACGGCTCCAATTTGGTTGTTTTGGGTAAATTTTTGTTAATTTTGTCTATGCATACACCTTAGAAAATTGACAAGTGTCCAAAAATCATAAATTTTAACCTACAATTTAGACAAAAGTGTCAAAATTGAGCTATAGCATTGCATATAAATAAGATGCTAATTAGATAATTACAGGAGAGAGAAAAAAAAGTACTATGTACTCTAATCTGTATCGCAAAACAAGAAATGTGCACATCAATGCAATCTTATTAGTCTTATATATGGTTTCATTGGTAAAGCTAAACCATTTCTTGTTATAATTGTTGAAATTTACCAGTACAGCTGTAACATATAGAAAGCCTGACGACTGGTTGAGAGGAAATGTCTTTTGAAAGGTCAAATCAATGCATGTTTAGGTGCATGTTTAGGTGAAATGAAGTTTTTAAACAACACTAAAGTATGCAAAGAAAAAGTTTACAAACAGACGAGATAGGGTATGATAAAATTTGACCATGCCCAGAATAGATCAGGATATTTTGTCTAAAAAAATTGTCATGGAGTCAATCACATCTATATATGACTCAAAATTGATGCCCTATCAAATTACACTTTAAATTACTGGCTAAAACTGCTATAGGGCTCAATAAGTTTGCATATAAACGCTATTTCATCGTAGCAAGAGGTTGACTGAATTATACCTGTCCTTCAAAAAAACACTAGCCCCAGCTTCCAAAAGCAACTTCGCTGTTAAATATAATCCTTCAGAGGCAGCTACATGAAGTGGAGTTCGGTGATCGTAATCTTTAGAGTTTGGATCAATTCCATTGGATAATATCCTCTTGAGAAAATCTGAATCCCCGTTCGTAACCACCGTACATAAGAAACTACCAGCATCATCAATCTTTAATGCAGCTCCTTCTTTAACTAGTATAGAAGCAACTCTATCATGACCGTTCTTGAGGGCTTCTAGTAAGGGTGTGTTTCCAAACTTATCTGCAAAGTTTAAAGAAACCCATGCAAATTAATTATTCTATTTTTAATTTGATAAATACATGCAAATTAATTATTCTGACAAAGCTAAAAACAAGTAAAGCTTAAAAAGTCTGTAGACACAAATTTTAAAACATAAAGTGTTTCAACACATTTCAAAATTTATGTTACAAATGTCTACTGTTTAGTTGTTGGACTAAACAGTGTTGATTATTTGAATAGCAGGTTCTTATTTCCGATCTGTATTTCAGATCGTTAATTACGCATTTTATACAAATGAAACCTCCGATTAATGAAGAACAAAATAAACAACAAAAGACAATTTAAGAAAAATAAATATTTTATTGAAATTGTAATGGCTTTTGAACCCTCGAATACAAAATACAATTCTTGGATTTGGAACCCTTTACCTATTCATTGCCATTAGCGTAGGCTCTTGAGTTCTCTAGACTTCTCTTCTTCTTTCTTATAACGATTTCTTTAGCTCTCAATTTCTCTCTCTCTCTCTCTCCGACCTTTTCACTTTTGATTTTTTGATCCCCCATCTTGTGTGATGGTCCTCATATTTATTTGCATATAAATAAGATGCTAATTAGATAATTACAGGAGAGAGAAAAAAAAGTACTATGTACTCTAATCTGTATCGCAAAACAAGAAATGTGCACATCAATGCAATCTTATTAGTCTTATATATGGTTTCATTGGTAAAGCTAAACCATTTCTTGTTATAATTGTTGAAATTTACCAGTACAGCTGTAACATATAGAAAGCCTGACGACTGGTTGAGAGGAAATGTCTTTTGAAAGGTCAAATCAATGCATGTTTAGGTGCATGTTTAGGTGAAATGAAGTTTTTAAACAACACTAAAGTATGCAAAGAAAAAGTTTACAAACAGACGAGATAGGGTATGATAAAATTTGACCATGCCCAGAATAGATCAGGATATTTTGTCTAAAAAAATTGTCATGGAGTCAATCACATCTATATGTGACTCAAAATTGATGCCCTATCAAATTACACTTTAAATGACTGGCTAAAACTGCTATAGGGCTCAATAAGTTTGCATATAAACGCTATTTCATCGTAGCAAGAGGTTGACTGAATTATACCTGTCCTTCAAAAAAACACTAGCCCCAGCTTCCAAAAGCAACTTCGCTGTTAAATATAATCCTTCAGAGGCAGCTACATGAAGTGGAGTTCGGTGATCGTAATCTTTAGAGTTTGGATCAATTCCATTGGATAATATCCTCTTGAGAAAATCTGAATCCCCGTTCGTAACCACCGTACATAAGAAACTACCAGCATCATCAATCTTTAATGCAGCTCCTTCTTTAACTAGTATAGAAGCAACTCTATCATGACCATTCTTGAGGGCTTCTAGTAAGGGTGTGTTTCCAAACTTATCTGCAAAGTTTATAGAAACCCATGCAAATTAATTATTTTATTTTTAATTTGATAAATACATGCAAATCAATTATTCTGACAAAGCTAAAAACAAATAAAGCTTAAAAAGTCTGTAGACACAAATTTTAAAACATGAAGGGCTTGTTTGGTTTGTATTTGAGAAACATGTTTTGAGATAAAAAGTACGAAAATTTGTTTGGTTTGGTTTTTTTTCAAAAGATATTTTGAAAATTTATTTTGAGAGAGAGTTTTGGAAAAAGTGATTGATTTGATGTGTATAAGAGAGATTTGTTTGGAAAACTTGTAAATCAAACAAGTTTTCGAAAAAAATTTTGAGAAAATTTGTTTGGTTTGATTACTTTTAAAAACTTATTTGTAGAGAATTTTTTCCAAAATTTTTTGAGAAACACAAACCAAACAAGGCCGAAGTGTTTCAACACATTTCAAAATTTATGTTACAAATGTCCACTGCTTAGTTGTTGGACTAAACAGTGTTGATTATTTGAATAGCAAGTTCTTATTTCCGATCTGTATTTCAGATCGTTAATTACGCATTTTATACAAATAAAACCTCCGATTAATGAAGAACAAAATAAACAACAAAAGACAATTTAAGAAAAATAAATATTTTATTGAAATTGTAATGGGTTTTGAACCCTCGAATACAAAATACAATTCTTGAGTTTGAAACCCTTTACCTATTCATTGCCATTAGCGTAGGCTCTTGAATTCTCTAGGCTTCTCTTCTTCTTTCTTATAACGATTTCTTTAGCTCTCAATTTCTCTCTCTTTCTCTCTCCGATCTTTTCACTTTTGATTTCTTGATCCCCCGTCTTGTGTGATGGTCCTCATATTTATAGAGGGCCATCAGGTGATAGGAATGCCTCATCTTCAATTTGAATTCCAAATTGAATGATAGTGCCATTTGAATTTTGAATAATAGCACTATCTAATTAATCGTATATCTGATTAACCGGATTGATCTTTGGGGTTTCATCCTGTGTGGTGTCATTACTGTAGGCTCTACAGGTGTCATCTTTCGTAGGTTCCACGTGCCATTTGAGTATCTTGAATAACGTTGTTGAGATACAACGTTGTTTTATTTATGTACTTCAACAGATCATATTGATCTTTTTTTAGGGAGCGATTACCTACAACCTTCCTATCATAGACTCTATACGTGTCATAAATTTAGTTGAAATTTATGTGCCAACAAAGGCACACAAAAAAAAAATGATAAGCGCATTAAAAGGTTACCTGAAATGTTGACGTCTACACCTTCTTGAATAAGGAAGAGTGTTATATCTTCATATCCTCTTGATGCAGCAAGATGCTGTTGAAAAATAATAAATTCATAGATAAATAATTAAAGAGGATCTTTTCAGGGAGAAGCACTTCTTTTATTCGAAACTTTAATTTTCATATGTATGGAAAAAGTAAAAAATTTGATAGATTCCTGTCATGAGCAGCACCAGCGACTATCATGAAATGACAATTCTACCACCAGATATGGATTTAGTAGTATGTAAAATAAAATAATTACACTTCACTTCAATTATTTCATAGACTTGAGTCAATATGTGTCTGTGTATATATATTGTACTGTGAAATGACACAGGCAAACAAGCAGCACTTGTCTACACTATCCGCCAAATTTCATTAGTTCAGTATAACAAAAATAGGCGTAATGACATATTTACTTTCTACAGCTCTAACATGATTCCCAACCAGTTTTAAGAGAGTATCATATTCATTTGTACATCTGCATCCTTAAGTAAGCTGTATTGGACAAAAAGCATTGACTTTTATAACTATATAGCTTTGACTTTTATAACTATATTGCCTTAAATAACTTTTGCACTACGCATAAAGAGTGTAAAGGGTACCTCCTTCCATTTCTTCAACGATTCGGCAACGAACTACTTGATTTATGAGGGTTTTAAGAAAAAACATAAAATCATGCTTAATTTTCTTGGAAGGTGATTAGTAATCTGCCATAGTTTTACATGGACATAGCTGCCCAGCAAGAAGGGTAAAAAAACATAAATGAAGCGAGAATTTGAAAATACACATCTAGAAAAACAATTAATGGCAAAATATACATTTGTAGCTTCTCCTATTGAAAACAACACAGATCTTTTTGTTCAATAATTTCTCACCTGCTTAAAGCATTGAACCTATTACCAAGTGAAATCGTAAGACATTATACAAGCTACTGCAATGTTCTCTATTGTAGATGTGATTAAAGGAGGAAACATTGAAGGAGGAATTCTCCTTATTTCAAAAACGTTCACAACCAAGACTAACAAAAATGTATTATCTGTTGTTCGTTCCAAGTAATTTCTGATTTTGCACTAAACAGATAAGGTCCATTTGATATGAATGTTGAAATCGGAACCGAACCGGGAAGACAATAAAGATGTACCAACCAAAAAACACCAACAAAATAAAGATATATGACAAAGATGAAAAATAATGCTAACCAGATGTGAGAACAACATATGCTCAAATGTTCATTTATGGCTTGTAATTTTTCTTGATCCTGAATCAAATGTAATTCGTGGATGCATGATCAGATGAATCTGCAAACAGTAGTATACTAGTATCACTATAAACAAGAACCACCATTGCCTCTTGCACATATCTATACAGTTCCTATAGCTCATCAATAACAGTTTTAAATGATTCAGGTAGCTGCATGCGGGATATCTTAAAATTAACTCCATGAATTATTAAATTCAGAAAGACAAGAAATCAAAGAAAAACTAAGTCGTATTCCCAATAATATAATACCCTTTTTTTTGTAAAATAAGCATCAGATTGAAGAATCAAGAAGCAACAAAGTAAAACCATTGAAAATCATAGCAAAAAGCTAAAATCATACCAATGGTGATCTTCCATCATAATCTGTCTTCTTGGGATCAGCTTCAGCTCGGATCAAACTTTTGAGTTGATGCAAATCTCCATGATAAGCTGCACTATTAACTCTTAAAGCAAGTTCAGCTTCTTGCTTTCCAATATGAAATGTGATATCCGATTCCAATTGCTTCACACGAACATTTGATTCTTTTCCCTGTCAGCTTATATTATTTTAGGCATTTGATGCATATAAATTAATTAATTCGATAAAGTTTATGCAAAACAAATGAATATGCATTTGTAGGTACTGATGCTATGGGAGAAAAAGAAGTGCAAGAAACAACGTAAGAGAGGCAATAACATTTTAGCACAACTGAATTACCTCCAGAAGGTTGATCAAGATTCTTCGCCCATCATGAAAATATATGTCAAGGATATTTGAGAATGATTGTTTATCAAGGCGCAGAAGCCTACATAGCTCGCAAACTCGAACAGTATAAGGCTGAGGTATGTTGCAAAGAATAGAAATTTCACCAAATAAATGGTTAGGTTCCAAATTAGAAACAGTCTCTTCTGATCCATCTGCCCCTATACCAACCTCCTCCTGTACATAAATAGTCTTTCATCAATATTAAAATGCAAGAAACTAATGACGACTTCCCTAGGGAACTACTTAGAAATACTCTAATTCAACATAATGGTTATGTTTCTAGAAATGTAAATGGCAATGGCAAGCGGCTGGGTTCAAGATAGGCATTTCTTTCGCAACCCTGTCTACAATAAACAAAAATTTTCAACCATGAAGATCCCTGAGCCCCTCTCTTAATGTTTGTTCTTCAAGTAGGTGTAATGAGAAAGAAAAGAAAGGTGAGCAAAGACCCAATAGGTATTAGTAAAATGTTTCATATTGGAAGTGTTATGATTCAGAGTAATCAGGATTAACGTCACTCCAAACCACAGGATGAATAGTACTGATGTCCTCCAATAACAGGACTATATTTTGAAGACAACTAGACTCAAGAAAAATTAAATAGAGTTGTCTATGCATTTTTGTTTAAATAAACAACTAATTTATGATGAAATCAACATCAGGACAGGCAACCGCAAATTAAAAAATAAATTAATATGCCATGCATTAGAATAAGGAACTGAAAAGTATATATCTAAAAGAAACAGAAGAAGATAAAGAACAAACAAAAAGAAACTGACTCACGATAATCAAATAAATATTAATAAACGAAAGTCAATACAAGATAGTATCATACCAGCATACCATGACAGACAAAATAAAGTTGATCTACCACATTTCCCTGTTCCATTATCACTTCTCCTGGGAGAAAAAACTCCTCATGGACTCTGATTACCTACAAGAACAAAAGAATGATTGAGAGCAACTCCATCAACTTATGTAAATCCACATTTGCTTATTCAACAAGGACAATCTTAATTTTGCGGTTGCAAACCAACATATACCAAATACCATGTTGACCACCAAAACTAGTATCACAGGTAATGCAATTTTTAATTCATTTAATCATGATGAAACTGGAAAGCACATGAGTGCACACATTAGAGGTTCCTAGATTAGATGAAATGATGAAAAACTCAAGTCCAGTGATTTCAAGTGGGGATGTAATTATAGACACCATTGCATTAAGGTCAAAGGAATACAACAATAAATTGATTGCAGTATTATAAACATTGACATAGCGCAAGAGAAAGCACTTTGATCGAGGCTCTGGTCCGCTTACGATTAAAAACTATTCACACCACCCCAATCAGTATACAAAGCCTACAGTGGTTTCTAACTTTCTATGTCTATCCATGTACAAATTTATGAAGGTTGCTTGGTAGAAATGACTGAAAAATATGAAGGTTGCTTGAAGAATATATTGAGGAAAATAACATGATGAGTTTATAGTTGTAGCTACAGCAGAGAAGAGTACCAAGTAAAAAAATATGACAATAGTCATACGAACATGTCTGACTTCAAAGAGGGTGATATGGTTACTTTTTCTGGAGTGATTCTTAAGGATAGCCAAAAGATTATTTGCTTAGCTTCAGTAAGAACTGAATTAAGCGTGCACCAATGACTGAAAACTCAAACAGCAAGAGTAATATATAATCTTCTATCCTTCTCTGGATATCTAAACTTCGCTTTACTTAGCTTCAAGCTTTGTTTAATGTTGGCATCACACCAACAAAAATAGCCAACGATTCACAATGTGACTGATAATCATACGCAACTCCCAAGAAACAGAACACCACAAAAGATTATTAAAAATCCAAAAGTCAACATGCACATGATATGCCTGGTTAAGGTTGCCTATAGCAACAGAGAAACAAAATCTACAAAAAATTAAAAAGTTAAGAAAGAAGAAAAATCACCCACCCATTATTGAAAAGAAGAGAACTTTTTTAGCCTCTATATGCACTAAAATGACAAATAAGATGATGCGCCTCTGCAATCTGGCGAACCAATCCACTTGGGAGGATTTTAAGCACCAAACAGAGATCATATATAATAAACTCAAATACTATAGGTATTTATTTTCACTATAAATAAAAAGAGGAAGAAATTCCCCGGGAAGAAGAAACTAGAGTCATGCTTAAAGCAATGCATCAACAAAACTTGATGAATGTTTGAATGTTTCCAGAAGAAATAAAGAAGACCCATTTGCTATATGCCATTCACTTTCAACAATATCAATTCTAAACTTGATTTTCATGAATTAAGGATAACAAATTCAATAAAAACTACAAAATTTTTTAAAGAGAATTGCTATGACAATTAGAGCTGCAAATGAACAGAGCCGTTTGTGAACAAGCTCGAGCTCGGTTCAGTAAAAGCTCGTTCGAACTCGGTTCGTTAAATTTTTTTTGCATTCGAGCTCGAGCTCAAGCTCGAGCTCGTTAAATTTTTAATAAACAAACCCAAACATTCTAAAGCTCGGCTCGTTAGCTAGCTCGTTTAATATTTATTATTTATATATTAAATAATGTAAACATATGTATAAAAAATAAGATAAATATGTTATTTATATATTTCAAAAATATAAATGTAAATAATAGTTAACTATAAATAGTACATTTATATAATAGTGGTAGTATATATTATTTCAATATAATATTGACTTTTTTTTTTAGAATATTTATATATATTGTATATATAATTTGTAAAAAATTTAATGTATAAAGAGAAATAGAGAATTGTATTATTGATTGATATTAATGTTATATTTATTACAATGATTCATGATTCCTATATAAAGGAAGGAGAGCATGTTCACGGAAGAACTTGGGCTCCTTCTCAATCTCCTTGCCAGATCGACGATCAATCTCAGCAAACTTGACAGCAATGTGGGAGGTGTGGCAGTCAAGAACTGGAGCATACCCATTACCAATCTGACCCGGGTGATTCATAATAACCCATTACCAATCTGACCCGGGTGATTCATAATAATAACCTGGGAGGTGAAATTTGCAGCTTCCTTGGCTGGATCATCCTTTGAGTTAGATGCAACAAAACCACGCTTGAGATCCTTCACTGCAACAATGTAGATGAAGACGACCGAGACGGTGGTGTATGGGAGGACAACAGTGAGAGGAGGGGCAGTGGTGGTGGACTCGAAGAAATTTCAAGGTATGTGTAGAAAATTCTAGCAGATTAGGTTGAGGTCCGGCGGGCGGCCAAGGCGAGGTTGCCGCCCGCCGGTGAAGCGAAAAATACTAAGTGTTTAACCTTGCTCTGATACCATGTAGAAAATTTAATGTATAAAGAGAAATAGAGAATTGTATTATTGATTGATATTAATGTTATATTTATTACAATGATTCACGATTCCTATATATAGAAGAGGATGAGTGTGTAGTAGGTAAGGAGTAGGTGAAGTGGAGGTGGTAGTGGTGTAGTGGGTTAGGTTTAGTGGAGTAGGTGAGGTGGTAGTGGTGTAGTGGGTTAGGTTTAGTGGAGTAGGTTTAAGTGGGTGAAGTAGATGATAGGTTTTAACATAATTATATAATCAAAATTTTAATTGTAACTGTAGTCTCATACGCAGATATGAATTTATAATTTTTTTGGCTCGTTAAGGCTCGTGAACAGGCTTGAGCTCGAGTCAAGCCTAAGCCAACTCGGCTCGAGCTCGGTTTGTTAAATTTTTATTGAGCTCAAGCTTGAGCTCGAGTTCGTTAAAATCTTAATAAACAAGCCCAAACATCCTAAAGCTCGGCTCGGCTCGGCTCGTTTGCAGCCCTAATGACAATACAAGTGAGATCACCAATTGTTGTAAAAGCTTAATCTTTTGGTACAATTGGTCCAAAATGGTATCAGAACTTTAGTTTCAGCCTTCCAGGAGAATCTTGGGTTCAAGTCTTGTTACCCTCATTATCTCTATCATTGTTCATTCTATTCTACTTTCACCTTGTTTTCTCTTAGAGTGTTAGCTTTATATACATTGTTGAGCCAATTTCCTAACTTAAGCTTTGGGGACAATTGTTGATCGAATCCAAATGTTTTTCATTATTATGAATATAACATTGTCTAGTTAGCTAAAATAACTTACAATCTGATTGATGAATTCTGTAGAGCATCCTTTGAAAAGAGGGACATTTTCAACGTATGGCTTGTATAAAGTTTGGGAAATCTGCAAAAGATGTTGAGCAAAACAAGAGAGGAATCAAATTAAAGCACACCACAAATTGTTATGCACAAGCAGAACAGATTTGTCATTCATATATATACAACAATCTGAAAACATACATGCATATTCAAACCTAAGAAATATTTTATTGAAAAAATAAAACTAAAGAGAACTTGTAATAAAATAAAAGGCTTTAGTAATGTTTAGAGATTAATACTATGAACAAGTTATACAATGTTTCTTCACTTTTACCTTAGCACGAATGGAGATGGGCATATCCTGAAGGACAGAAGTTTCAGTATAGCTGCTTTCATACTGTAACCGCAAGTGACCTTTGATCTGATTGCGGATGTCCCTTCCAAGTCTATTTCTGTTCATATATTTCATGAGATCTGCCATTTTATCCCTGAACCTTTCTGTCTTTGATCCTTTCACAATTAATGCAGTCATGTTACCAATCAAATAAGCACCAAGAATCATGTCAAAAGAGACATATATCATTATGAATATCATTTCCCTCAGATTGACTGCATGTATATCTCCATAACCTGCAGCAGGAAGAAGATACTCATTTAGCATAAACAAAGAACCCATCAGGAAAAGTAGAAGTATTTTATGGTGGAAAGCTTTAACATGTTTAGACTATTTGTGAAAGAAAAATAATTATTTTCATTATTTCTTTCAATCAAATAACATGTCCCTGTTGTTCAAATTGTGAAATTAAATAAATAGATTTATGAAGAAATCAAAATTATATACCAAGAATATATGCTGATAATTACAACTAAATTTCAACAGAAATACACAAAACAATAAAATGATAAAAAAACCAAACCGAAGCCTGCACAATAGCAATTTCCTTAAAACAGATTTCGCCGCCTCACGGGTCGAGTGCTTGAGGAATCCCGGCGTTTGTCTCCCAGGATACGACGGTCAAAAACCAGCTACGGCAAAAGCACTCTCTGTCTAGCTTAGCGAACAAAAATAGTGGCAGCACTCTCTCACAGTAGGAACTTTCTGGCAAACTGACTTGTAAAATGGAAGTAAAAATTTCTATATTGAGACTTGACAGGAGGGTCTCAATTTATACATGTATAGAGGAGAGAGGAAGAGCCACCAGCTTTTATGGCTGGTCATTAAAGCCCCATTAACCAGGATCCATAACCCTTTTTCAGAAAGATGAAAAGTTTGGATACCCAATGGGTTCACACCCTTTAGCCAAGAAAAAGGATTTAAATATCCTTAAAATCTCATTCATGAATCTAACATCATGAGGCAATTTCTTGGCAATATCTTATTCAATTCTCAATGATTTTTGGCCCACTTGAACCCAACACAATAAATAGTTGGGACCCACTTTAATATTTAATTAAAGTCACCACACTTTAATATTAAATTAAAGTCACCAAAAACCATTTTTTCCAACAGTCCCGACGGTCTAAAATTAAACCAATTATTTCTCACTAATTTTTGTACTCCTGCTTGGCCTCTCTCTACGTTTAGAGATCTCAAAAATGGAAATTTGTTCTTCCAATGATTCATAATCATCAAGTAACATTTTTACTTCCACCAAGAAGATTTTCCTTTTCTAAAATTTCTAATGAAGCAGCCCATTATTTTTTTAACGTCTTAATAACAGTACAATAGATACTGGTGTAAACAGCTTATTCAAGCTTTTTCATGTTGTCATTATTTCTACTTCTTTGTCACTATTATATATGAAAATATTAGACATGCGAATCAAGGCAGTTTCCTTAAAACAGATTTCGCCGCCTCACGGGTCGAGTGCTTGAGGAATCCCAGCGTTTGTCTCCCAGGATACAACGGTCAAAAACCAGCTACGGCAGAAGCACTCTCTGTCTAGCTTAGCGAACAAAAATAGTGGCAGCACTCTCTCACAGTAGGAACTTTCTGGCAAACTGACTTGTAAAATGGAAGTAAAAATTTCTATATTGAGACTTGACAGGAGGGTCTCAATTTATACATGTATAGGGGAGAGAGGAAGAGCCACCAGCCTTTATGGGTGGTCATTAAAGCCCCATTAACCAGGATCCATAACCCCTTTCCAGAAAGATGAAAAGTTTGGATGCCCAACGTGTTCACACCCTTTAGCCAAGAAAAAGGATTTAAATATCCTTAAAATCTCATTCATGAATCTAACATCATGAGGTAATTTCTTGGCAATTTCTTATTCAATTCTCAATGGTTTTTGGCCCACTTGGACCCAACACAATAAATGGTTAGGACCCACTTTAATATTTAATTAAAGTCACCAAAAACCATTTTTTCCAACAGTCCCGACGGTCTAAAATTAAACCAATTATTTCTCACTAATTTTTGTACTCCTGCTTGGCCTCTCTCTACGTTTAGAGATCTCAAAAATGGAAATTGTTCTTCCAATGATTCATAATGATCAAGTAACATTTTTACTTCCACCAAGAAGATTTTCCTTTTCTAAAACTTCTAATGAAGCAGCCCATTATTTTTTTAACGTCTTAATAACAGTACAATAGATACTGGTGTAAACAGCTTATTCAAGCTTTTTCATGTTATCACTATTTCTACTTCTTTGTCACTATTATATATGAAAATATTAGACATGCGAATCAAGGCCAAAATTGATGCCATTGTGACTAGCATCACTACTTTTGGCACTCTATCACAATATCACCATAAACAACCAACAATTTATCTTCATCACAAATGTTCTAAATAATTATCACCTTCAACACTAAGCTATTCCTACCCACCACTGCCACCATTGCCACATAAACAAGCTGCTCCAAAAACCCTCCTATACCAGCATCACCACATCAACCACAATTCTGCCACTTTCACATGTCAGTAACACAACTACCACCTTTGATGACCAAGTTAACCCACATCTACCAGTACAACCAACTCCAAAAGTGCCCCAGTCCAAAAATACATTTTACCCGTGCAATATGTTACACGGTCTTGGGTAAAACTCAACCTCAAAAGCTAGCTATTGAGGTGAGGATGCCCTCATGCTTATATGCTTAACGTACTCAGCTGATGTGGGACTTCGCTTCACACCCTCCTTTACGCCCAACATGCTCACTAGGCAGCACCTGTGGTGTGCACCCTACCCATCACTGAGTACTCTGTCTCTGATACCATGTTACACGGTCTTGGGTAGAACTCGACACCAAAAGTTAGCTATTGAGGTGAGGGTGCCCTCACACTTACATACTTAACATTGCTTTAGTACTCAGGTGATGTGGGACTTCACTTCACACAACAATCAAATTGACCATCTTTGTGCCTATTATGATTCCCAAAGGGGCCACAATTTGCCCACATCTCTAACGACCATCGACAAAAATCCTCTCAGTAACAGATTTTTTAACATATTCAGAATGAGAAATATAGTTCTCTGAAGTTCATGAACCAACCCAAAAAATATCATTACCATGGTAGTCACTTGTGATTTTATATGTACACATGTATGAAACTGTTGAGAATATAATATAAATAATAAAGTTGCCCCTCTCTTTAACAACTTAAGCCTTTCGATGAGTTGGTAATTGTGGGTACTTGTATCAAGCTCAATACGTGGCAAGCCCTACAGGTGCCGCATCACCAAAACCCCACCCACGTGGCAGACCAATAAGGCACTACGTCGGGCATGTCGTATGTTTGATACATGGCGAGCCCTATGGGCGCCATGTGCCAAGGCAACCAAAATTATATGCTTAGCCTAAGCGGGAGCATATGTACAAGCCCAAATATATCTAGATATGAAGAGCCCTGCAACAGGCAACACCATGGCCCCGCAGGGTCCACGGTCCTTCATACCTCGCTCCAAGACCAAACAACAATACAATCAGCCCAAGCTCCCAATTCACTTGGACTTGGATTGACAAACATTGAGATAAGCCCGCCGCCCATCCTCCTACTTGGTCGCCTGGAAGCGAGCCCTTGGCTCTCCTAAACACTAAGGTGGGCCCTAGCCCATTCACCTACTTGGATGCCTGGGTTGGGAGCAGGACCCAGGCACTACTGCTCGGGATCATTAGAGGATACTGGACTGGCAGCTGAGGTCATGGGATCGTCGAGATGGTTGTCTTCTTGCTAATACAACTCCATTTCGACCAGGCTTGGAGAAAAGGCAACAATGACCTTACGTTCATGTCATCCGATGCATATACGAAACGTTACTTTCCGCCTGCCACGAAATGTTGCTCTCCGCCTGCCGGCAAGCCACAGACGGCAGAAGGGCTTACATCACTTCTGGCAGAGTTGAGGAGAACAAGCCACCTGTCCAACAGTTTGCTTGGGCTCCAATACTCCTGTGGCCTATTTAACGTATCGTATATGCAGCGAGATACAACAACAACAATACAACCAAGTCTCATGCTTAAACACTCTCTCATACTTTACATTAGTGTTCAAAGGTCTATCACTGCCAACCTCTCCCTCTCCAAGCTTGCCTTGACCTCCTCCTCTCCACCTCCGGTGATCTCAGGCCATTGAAGTGCCCACCATCTTCCCGAACTACCTCTAACCACACCTCTCACCCACAGTAATCAACACTTTTATATGGTATCAAAGCAGACAATAGATCCTAGGTTCGACCTCCCGCTATGAGAAAATGTCTAACCACACGTGAGGCGGCATGTTGGGAATATAATATAAATAATAAAACTGCCCCTCTCTAACAACTTAAGCTTTTAGATGAGTAAATGCTATTATACACCAAAGAAAGCCCCAACCATAATGAAACTTAATGTCACGCCCCAAGCCCCATGACAACAACGCACACTCATCTAAGTGAGCATGCAAGGCTAAGAGTCCAATCAAATAAACCAATAATATAAAATACTCAAATTAAATCTTTAATTATCATAATGCCAAAATCCATAAATAATAAACGATCTTTATCATATAAAATTGTCCACCAAATCCACTAATATAATCCACTAACAAAATAGTAATCCAAGTAACTTAAATCATAGTCCTACTCTCGACACTCCCACAAGTAAAAACCCGCGCAGGTTGCCGACAGACCCCTAGAAGGCCAGAGGGGCTGTCGACTAGGCCTAAGAGGCTGTCGGGAGGCATAGGGAAGCTGCCAATGGACTGAACAAGAGTGTGGGAGGTTCGGATTGACTGTAGGGGCCTAGGAGATAGGCTACAGAAGTCGATTGAGAGAGGTGACTACAGACAGAGGTATGGGCTAGGGTTTTGGCTCTGATACCACGTAGTTTTGGAGAAAAGAAACAGTTAGGGAATGAGTTAGACTTCATTCCCTTTTATATTGATAATACTGAGTAATTACAAGAGTGCCATAAGGCATAATATAAGGAAACACAATCACACAATTACGCATTTCCTATTCTAACTTATTTCCTATTCTAACAAGCTTTACTCCTCAGAATCTGAAAAAAATAAAATAAGGGTAAGCTAGACAGTCTAGCAAATAACAACCATTACTGCTAGCTGGATCAAGTATACAAAAAAAAATAGCCGATGCAATAAATATATTTTTGCTATAATTCAATAAATGAACAATTATTTTGTAAGATGGTTCCATAGCTGAAAATAAACAGCATAGCAATACATTTTAATTGAAAAGACAATGAGATAATTTGAAGAAATGTCGTTGTTCAAATTGATGGTTCGATATTCAGACAGTTCAATGATTTGATTCACAAAACTCAAGTCTTGGTGACTACGGTCACTTAGCCCATGACAAGGCCCAGAACCACACATAGGCCGGTGGTAAAGCCCTAAAAGAAATTAGTTTCTGTGCCAATAAATAACCCCCATTGATTATGGTCCAAATCATAGTCAGACTAGAGTGATATTCAGAATTCAAATAATACACAACTTTTAAATAAAATATTCGATATTTTCAAAATAAACATCTAGTACAATTTTCAGAATAGTTTCACAAAATATTCAAATAATTTTCATAATAATATCCGATGTTGTTTTATACTTGACCTATATTTTATTTTAAGAGAATAGGAAGGCTATAAATAAATATTTATAACTTCAAACGATTTAATAGGAATAAAAATGAACCAACAGTGATAGAGGGTTACTTACCTCAAACAGCTAAAATAATATTTCCTAAGCTAATCTCAAATTACCGAGATCCACCTCAATCTCACAAACCTCTAAGAGATGAATAGATCAAAATCACCACTCTATAAATCTTTCCTCTTCGTTTTCTTTTTTCTTTTTACCTTTTTCAAACCTTGCGGCAGCCTTCAAAACCCTAGCGAGACCTCTGTTTTCCTCCAAGACTTGAAGCAAAACATGTCGGCTTATTAACCTAGTTTCCCAAAATTGCAAAATTACCCATCTAAGTTATAGAAATTGTAATGCCATCTCATAACTAATTCCTTGATATTACTAAATGACCCATACAAATTAGTTTAATTACTAATCTATCCAAAAAATAATTCTACACATAACTTGGGTTTTACACTTAACTAGCTTTGGTCTTCATTGAACAACTGAAGACCTCAAGACAAATACATGTTGGAATTGATCTTGGGTAGACCTAACGTCTTCCTTGTATTAAATTCGGTTTTTTTTTTTTCTGTAAGAAATTGGTTAGCTTCTTTTGATTTCTGAATAAGATAGATTACATGTAATGCAGACATCATTAGCCTTTATCAATATTTGAGAGTCGGATTTTGCAACTAGAAACCATAATATGCCTTCAGTTACGTAGAGAAATGAACTCACCAACTGTTGCCATGGTGACAATGGCAAAATATAGGGATGTTGTGTACCGCGTCCACAAATCAATTTGTCTGAAGTGTGAATAACTGTAGTCACCCATTTTTAAACTCCCAATCCATGTATACCCTTCTTGCTCCGCGGGAAGAGTGGTAGCCAAATAATAAAATATGCAGGCTGCAGTATGTGTGCAATAGAGTTCAACCGCAATAAGCTTGACAATCCTAGTAAACTGATAATTGATCCGTATATCCTTCTCCATGTTCTGAAAAAAATCAATGACTTTGCGAACCCGACTTAACCTGATCCACAAAAGGTACCTCACTTCTTCTTTATTTCCACAAGCCTGATTAACACAGATTGCTATGTTGTAATTACTGAAGATGTAGTTGTGGTGTTATGGAAATGTTAAAATATAAGGATTATGAGAAGTAAAAGAAGAAAAAGAAAAGGGCACATGAGCACAGAGAGTAGCAGTGTAATAAGTACAACACTCAACCAGCATTAATATGACTGACTCACACGATGAGATCAGGGAGTATTCTAAAGTAACCAGGTGCTTCATCTTGTGAAAAACAATTTACAAATTGTGATAAACTACAAATTAAATAAAGCAGGTTCAAAACTACAATAAGCTAACTCAATTTTAAAAGGACATCCAAAAACTGCCATTATAAGTTTTTATTGTCCTTTCTAATTCTATCCCCTAAGACACAAAAAGTAATATGGAAACCATAGCATAACATATTGATTTTAGGGCAAATTATGACAGTAGTCCCTATACTTTGGTTCTTGTGTCATTTTAGTCCCTGTAATTTCAATTGGTTGTATTTTGACCTCAAATTTATGATGTTGTCTCAATTTGGTCCAATTGGTTACAACTCTTAGTATTTTTTTATGAAAAATATGCACATTAGTGTCATGTGCTATATTTTTAAGGACAAAATTATAAATTTACTCAACTCAACAAATTAACCTCAACAATTTAGAGATATTTTTTCTTAAAAAACACTAATAATATTATCAATTGGACTAAATTGAAGCAAAATTTAAAATTAATGGTCAAAATCGAGTCAATTAAAAATTAAAGACTAAAATTAGGGATAAAATATAAGGACCATCTGCAAATTTGCCCTTAATTTTACCATCATGTTCCCAGTCTGAACTATGTGATCACTGCATACTTATGAAGCACGAGTACTCCAAAAATAATGTCATACGAGTTCTAGGTACTTACCGGATGCGGTATGCGTATCGTTGCGGCTACACACGTACCGGGTATGGCAAAAGGGGGTCCGGTACGTTTGGTTCAATCAGGTACAGCGTGGGTACGCCGTTGGTACGTTTCGGGTATGTCGGGGCCAAAAATCAAATTTATAAGACAATTAGGGGTACCGGAGCAATTTATTTGTGTTCTTTATTAAAAAAAAAAAAAAAAAAAAAAAAAAAAAACACAATGTTATAACCTAGGTCTTGTCCCTTCTTTGCATCTATTCACTTCAGCGACAGCAAAGAGAATGGTGGAGGTCTTCTTCGTCATCTTCTTTTTCTTCTTCTTTAGCGACAGCAACATCTGTTCACTTCGAAGCCCTCCGGCGACGGCGACGGCGACGCAACCAGACGAAGTCCTCCGATGAGTGTTCTTCATCTTCTTCTTTTTCTTCTTCTTCGTTTCTTCATGTCTTCGTCTTCGTTTCTTCATCTTCATTTCTTCGTTTTTTTCTGCAGATCAGCAAGTGGTCTTCTTCTCTATTCCTTTCTTCATCTTCCCTTCGGTGAGTTTTCTTCATCTCTCCTTTTTTTTTTTTTTTGTGCCCTTGCAAATCAGCAATTTTGATGTTTCTCTGTTGTTCTGTTTGTCCGTATGAATGAATTGTATATGCTTTTACTGAGAACACTCTGGCTTTGTTTTCAAAATTTACTTCTTGGAAAACTGTAAAAATTATAAGCCAATTCATTAATGTCTTCTCATCAGAAGTGTTGTTGAGAAACACTCTGGCTTTGTTTTCAAAATTTACTTCTTGGAAAACACTAAAATTAATTTGGTGAAAAAATAATGAAAATTCAAAACCACTTCATTTTCATATTATTTCCTTTTTTGTACAAAAAATTGTTTTGAATAAATTCAAAAACATCTTTCGGTGGTGTATTTTCAACAAACTACTCTTTAATATTTTTCAAAATACAACTTCTGAAAATGAAACAAAACATTCTATTGAACAAGAACTGACTGGAAGACATATTAGCTTGATCATCCTGGTAGTTAAACATGCCAATCCCTATTCTTGGACGTTACACCATATTCTTAGAAGTTTTTAGTATTCTTTCAACCATAATGGAGGTTTGATAATATTAAAAATTTGGCACTGAATTTGTTTGCTGAATATGAACATAAGATTTGAAGTTGAAAATTAATATTTAATTTTAATTTGATATTTAATTTTAATTTGTAGGTTGGATCCTTTAACCATAATTATAAATAAAATAATAAAAAAAATATATCGGCGTACCGCAGCCGTACCCGTATCATACTTTTTTTGAGTTTTTCCGTATCAGCGTACCCGCACTCGTGCTTCCTAGCTCCATACTATCCAAAGTATCCCAAATAAAAGTTTATCCAACTCAACTCAACAACAAAAAGGCTTAATGCCAATTAATCATGGTATGCTAAAGGAATCTGCATTCTTGAGTATTTTAAGATTTTAAAATATATATCCGTTTACAGAACACACAACTATATGTATAGTCAAAGAGAATGATGGCAATCAAACAAGTACCGGGTACATTAAGTTGGATATTTTAATATTAAAATTATTTTCAGCAAGTGGCTTATAATTTGTGGAACCATTGTATATCAAATAATATAAAATGCATGATGGTCTTCTTCATTCAAATATAAGTTGATGTGCATAAAATGAGAAAAGAGAAATGAAAAAAAGGAGAGTAGAAACGAATAGCAAGAGAAGTAAAATCTCTCATGTTAGATAACCACATCAATGGATTGAAATAGAATTGAAAAATAGAGACATAGCAAAGTTTTAAAAAAATTAAAATTAAAAATAATAAAGAAGCAAGATACAAGGGATTAAATCAAGGTGAAAAGATGCATAGTCTGCTACTATAGTCATCAATTACACCTAGATTTATGGGAACCTATCTTTCCTTGCATGTGACTCCATGGATACTTGACAAAAACACTAAAAACTTGTTCATTCAAATTTCAATTCATTCTTTGTATTCAATGTCAGTGCAATTGTAACTGTTAAGTAACCAATTGTCCCAAAAGATTAAATTGTTAAGAAATGGGTCCAACAATATGTATCAAACTATTCAACACCTTCCCTCATGTGCAACCTTGTCTTACATGTTGAGATGTAAACATCCATACGTACAGAGAGAGAACAAAGACTGTAAACAACTAAAGAAAGAATGCAAATAAGGACCAAATACAAATGGAGAAACTTGAACCAAGACCTCCTCTAACCTGAACTTTTTGATACCATGTTAAATCACCAATTGTTTCAACTCAAAAGTTTAAGATATTAGAAAATGGACTCAACAATATATATATATATATATATCGAGCTAACACTCCCCTCACCCCTCATGTGTGATCTTGTTTTGCACATCAAGAGACAAATAGATCAAAAAACAAGGTGAACCAAGACCCCCAAAAAGAAAAACAAAAAAACATAGTGCGTACTGACAAAGATAATGGGGACAATAATAACTTCAATTATTGTGCAATATGCAAAACAATTGGTGAAACAGGAACCATATGGTATCTTCAAAAACTACAATTATAGGAACGAAGAGTGGTACCTTATAGATAACATCCCAAGGCATGCAAGAAAGAAGATCGAAGACAAAATTAGATTTCAGGTACCTGCAATAAAATAGTTAAAAAAGAAAATAGAAGAAAGAATTATGTTTCTGTTTGGTTGGTTTTCAAAATCTTTGAAAAAATTTAATAAAAAAAAGATTAGTAAAAAAACTAATTTTAAAATTTTAGACTGAAAAATCAATAAATAAATAAAATAAAATAAAAATAAAAAATGGGAAAGGAAAGAGAAAACTGACCGAAGAGCTATTGGGGTGCGCTTATAGACCATTTTGTAGGTCTGACTATCTCTGTAAGCGACGAAGAATTGGAGGACAATGTCTACAAGGAAAGCAACTTGACCCGCGATGTCCCATAAGAAAAGCTTACTGGGCATTCCCCTGAAGAACCCGAACTCCATGGGTGTGAAGAAAGATGAGTACACTGCCCACACCAGAATGAACTTCGTCCATGCACGGTACCACCTGAATTTGCTTTGGTTATCATCTTACCGTATGAATTCAAAACCTCAAACAATTTTTCAACAAGCTATGCACATAACGCTGTTTGCCGCCCCAATAGTTTTGCGGGAGATGTGTTTTCAGAGGTCCGCCCAACTGAGTGTAAAAATGGTACGCGGTCTGAGGTGGGTCCAATCTGTCTAAGGTGGTGTTTGGCAAGTTGGGTTGGGGCTAAAATAGTCACAAAAGACAAAACAGGCTATTTTAGCCACAACAAACAAAACATCACATTCAACTCATAATCATTACACTCTTCTCTCACAAAAAAAGTCAAAAAAGCCAAAAAGTCAAAAAGTCCTTCCCAAACCAAGCTTTTTAGCCCAGGCTAAAATAGCCAAAAAAGCCAAAAAGCCAACCCACTTCCCAAACGGAGGCTAAGTTGCTTTGGGTTTGGACCGAGACTCTAGGTTTGGGCTACCATTTTTGGGGTTTCTATTTGCACTCAAAAAATAATTAAGTAAACTAATTTCTTAGTATATTATATTAAATTATTAAAAATTATAAGAAATTGAGTTGTTGAAAGTTTATTATGAAGTCATCCACTGATGATTACAAGGTAATAATAGCAACTCGGCTTACGATAATTTTGTCATGAATGTCGTGGTTGAAAGTTTGAAAAACAAAACGGGTTGAGATTGATTTTCCTTACAATAAATAAACAGTGAAATCAAGGCCTGTAGTGGATGAAGCCATTGCTTCCATTGTTTTTTTTTAATATATATAATTTTTTTATTTTTTTTCATATACAAATCAAACCCACCAAAACAGTGGGGTTTTGCCTTCACAGACCCACCGCAAACTGATTGGTATTGATGATAATGGTAAGTTTTTGTAGAATGAATAAGACTTTTAATGGTAAATTTTGGTAGGGTGAATTGAAGTTTTAGAATGAGAAAGAAAATGAAGAGAAAATAATTGAAATTTGAGAAGAATATGATGAGAGTTGAATATGAAAAATATTTATAAGTGATTTGAATGTACTATGAGGAAAAAAAATTATTTTAGGATTTAATATTTTGTCCTTATTAGTAAATTTACATAAAGATATAATAGAAATTACAATTGGGCGTACTAAGTTAATGTTTGGGTGCAAATAGAATCACCCATCATTTTGAAGTCTGGCTTGGCCCGTGATCTAATCCATCGGCCTGGTTAAGGCTCACTCAGGGCCTGGCTCAAGATTCACTGTCTTTTTTGGTTAAAAATAATATTAAAAAAATTGATAAAAAATATTTAAAAAAATGCTCAAATCCACCCAAGTCTAGGCACAGGCCCACCCAAAGCCTGAATACCCCTGAGCCTTTTTTTTTAGCCCATGGACCAACCTGACCAAGCCTAAATTTTGGTGAGAACTCACGAAGCCCGACATGGGTCGGGCCGAATTGGGCCAAATACACCCCTACCAACACACATTATTACCAAAAATATAATAATAAAGAAGCAATGACATGTTTACATGGTATTATTTTTTTGTTTAGGGCTGTTGAGTCTGGCTTAATCAAGAGTTTTATTTTAATTATTTAAATTATTTAATATATAAATTTTGTTAAATATTTTATTTTTGTAAAAATAATTTTGATCAAACATTGATAGTCCTTCGATCAAATTATATTTTTGTTAATAGTAAATATAATTTAAAAAATAAATTGTTGACAAAAATTTTATTTGATCAAATACCTATCGATATTCATTCAATGTAATTTTTGTGTTGAACAATTCAAATAATCAAAACGAGATCTGTTATAAATCCTACCAATCTAATAACACTATTTATAAACTGAAGAGAAGCCTTACATTTTATTCATCATTTTATTTGTTATAATCACATTGATTGAATCAATCCTGCCATGTATGTAATTAATACATGACACAACACTTGGTAAATAAAATGTGGTATGTAAAAAGAGTAATGTTAGAGATAAAAATATAAACTGAAAAAATATATATGTGTTAAAATTTTGACATGTTTATATGATTTTTTTGTTTTGTTTAGGGCCGTTTGTCTACTTTTTATTAGAGCATCCGTATCAGTTTCTCTATAATGACTTTGAAGCTATTGTATAGAGCAAAAGTTGTAAATATCAGTTCTATCAGTCTCTTTATACCCTTCATTCATTTTGTGAATGTTACAGTGCCTCAACTGATTTGTTGAGATACTATTCATACAGTAATCTATTTTTTATCATATTTTCTAAAGTAAAGTTGGGCCAAAAAACCATGGCAGGCCGTTCACTCGGATGTCCTGTAAGCACCCAAATTTGGCCTAACCCAGTCGACCGGCCGACCGGCCGCCCCTCAATGGGTTTGGCCCTCCTATGTTGTTGCTGCTCTGTTGTTGTTCTTGTGTTGATCTGTTACTGTCTTGGATCTTGTTTATACTTGCTTGTTCATAATATTTTAATGAAATAGAATTTTAAAATAAAGAGTTTGATGAAGTGTATAGACTAGCTAAAATACAAAAATAAATTTTGAGTTATAATTTAATTTAAACTTTATTAAGGCACCGTTTGGGAAGAAGGTTTCCAGGCTTTTTTGGCTATTTTAGCCACAACAAACAAAATATCACATCTAACCCATAATCATTACACTCTTATCTCACAAAAAAAGTTAAAAAAATCAAAAAATTAAAAAGTCATTGGCTTCGTTTGGGAAGTTGCTATTTTAGTAGACTATTTTAGTTTTTGACTATTTTAGTAGGCTAAAATTTTTGTGTTTTGGAAGATGATTGGATTTTTTTGTGGTTGGATGTGATGTTTGTGAGAGAAAAAGTGAAATGATTATGGGTTTGATGTGATATTTTGTTTTATTAGCTATTTTAGCCTATTTTGTCTTTTTGTGATTTTTAGCCTAAACTAGGCTATTTTTTTTCTTGCCAAACACTCTCATTCTCAAACCAAGTTTTTTAATTCAGGCTAAAATAGCCAAAAAAAATTAAAAAATTAAAAAATTAGCCCACTTCTCAAACGGAGGCTAAGACTAATACGGATGCCCTTACCCGTAAGAGAGGCAGCCCACTGGACTACCCACCGTGCCAACACATGAATCCATCAAATTGTATGAAAAAAACGTAAAAAAAATACATGCCTTAAAATCAGGCCTAGTCGTATTTCAAATTCTAAATCTACTCCCAATTCAATTCTCATTCAGATTGAGTTGGCCCATTCAGATTTTCTAACTTTTAGATGTATCTCTTATATACTCACTTTTTGAGCAAAATTCAAAATAAATTTTCATGAATCATGGCACTTTTTGTTGTATTTAGGGAGATTTAGGTGTAAATTTTAATAAGCAAATTTATTATTTAATAAGTTTCGTAAGAATTAATAGCATTTTTTATTAAATATTATTAAAAAATATCACTAATTATTAATTTTTAATTACAATTTTAAAAAAAAAATTATTAAAAATGTCACTAATTATAAATTTTAGTAATAATTTTTAAAAATTATCCTAAAAAAGTTATTAATTTCAAACTTTCAGTAATAATTTAAAAAATTTGTCATAAAAAATATTACTAATTATAAGTTTTAGAGACAATCAATAAAAATCGTGATAAAAAAATTATTTATTATTAATTTTTAACGGCATATATAAAATATTATTACAAAAAATTATTTTTAATACAAATTTTATTAAAATTTATTTTCAATAGAATTGAAAATTAAATACAAGTATTACTAGTAATAATTTACCTATAAACTTGGGCCCTCTATCCAAGAGTTGTGTGTCTGCCACTGCAGCAGTACAACAATGATTTAAGTTGGGACCCATATATGTCATCATCCCCTCCATCGTAGATCTAAATGTGACAAAAATTTAAAAAAAAATAAAAGACAGTACAACAACAATAAGCAGGGCATGCATCATGTAGCCCCCACCAAACTGCCTCCAACGTACCGATAGCTACTTATTAGGAGTTGGTTTGTGAAGTGGGTTGATTTTTTAAATTTTTAATTTTTTAAATTATTTTAATTTGGATTAAAAAGTTTGGTTGGGAAGGATTTTTAAGGCAAGGAATCCTATTAGAACATCTAAGCACCTCTCTCTCATTATTGAAAATGGACAATTTTTAATGAAGAAGAAGAAAGATCTTTAAAAAGACTAGAAAAACAGGCAAAACTTTCTGATGATCATCTTAAGGAAAGGATGGCAAAGGAAGATGTAAGAAGATGACTTCCTGTTGGTCAAAAATGTCATGAAGAAATGCATATAAAATTGAAACTTCATAGACATTACTTCTCCTTTAAAAAGTGAAATGAACACCTCTCATAATACATACCATCCAGTTCACGAATTGCATCCGTCGCATCCCTACGATCGTCAAAGTCGATAAAAGCATAACCTGGTGGCCTTCTAGCTACCCAAACACTGCATGTAAAATATTCAAAAAAAACACCAAAGTTATAAGCCAATTCATTAATGTCTTCTCATCAGAAGTGTTGTTGAGAAACACTCTGGCTTTGTTTTCAAAATTTACTTCTTGGAAAACACTTAAAATTATAAGGCGATTCATAAGCCAATTCATTAATGTCTTCTCATCAGAAGTGTTGTTGAGAAACACTCTGGCTTTGTTTTCAAAATTTACTTCTTGGAAAACACTTAAAATTATAAGGCGATTCATAAGCCAATTCATTAATGTCTTCTCATCAGAAGTGTTGTTGAGAAACACTCTGGCTTTGTTTTCAAAATTTACTTCTTGGAAAACACTTAAAATTATAAGGCGATTCATAAGCCAATTCATTAATGTCTTCTCATCAGAAGTGTTGTTGAGAAACACTCTGGCTTTGTTTTCAAAATTTACTTCTTGGAAAACTGTAAAAATTATAAGCCAATTCATTAATGTCTTCTCATCAGAAGTGTTGTTGAGAAACACTCTGGCTTTGTTTTCAAAATTTGCTTCTTGGAAAACACTAAAAATTAATTTGGTGAAAAAATAATGAAAATTCAAAACCACTTCATTTTCA